AACATTCAGGATTATCAAGTAACCAGAAACTCAAGGAAAAATTATCTTGTTGCTTCAATTTAATTACCTCAAAGTCCAAAGAGGAGTTTCCCTAAGTTAAAGCAGAAATGAAAATTTCAAATCTAAGGTAGTTTCTGCCTTTTCTCCCACTGTGGAAAGGAAAACCCAAGCCAGAGATTCCAAGTCGCTCATTTCCCCAGCCAGGAGTGGGAGGGTAGATGCCTGGCCTGGGGAGGCTGGGAAGCCGGTGCACCCAGTGGAAGCTAGTCAAGTACCTCCTGGCTCCCAAGAGTCCATCTGATTCTCAGGAGGCCAGACTGCAGGGCAAACCTTCTCGGCTGGTGTTGGGTGCCAAGCCCAGAAAGGACCTGTCCTGGGGGCTTCCTCGCAGAGGTCTTTCTCCATCTCCAGTGTACACCCTGCCTCTGCCCAGGATCCAGCACTGTTGGCAGGTAGAGCAAGAACTAAGAAAGAATCGTGACTCATAGTCCCTAAATTAATTGCTCCAAGAGAGAAAACAAATTGTTGAATTCAGTTTTAAAAAGTAAGAAAGGAAGGCATATCCTAATGGAGAAGATTCCAGATTAGATGCTTTCTGTTATCATAGCAGGGCCATATTACAATTACAAAGCAAGTTGAAACACACCTATCAGATTCAGGAAAAGAATTTAGAGCTACTTTTTATATATCAAAATACTGAAGTACAATGTGTTAAATAAGACTTTTCATAGGGAGCAAACCTTCTCAAGCAGTTGAGCTGGAGAAAAGCTGCCTGACAAGTTACATTGACAGGGCAGCGTCGGGTAGGGACTGGTATAGACTGTGCCCAGCTCTGTCGTCTTACAGCTTTGTGATCTGGGGAAGAAATATTTAAACTTTTCCCTTAGCTGCAAAGAAAAGATAAAGAATACCTCACAAGGGTTGAAGAGTGAAATGAAACAGGGAACACAGAGGCAATGCTTAGTAAACATTAGTTCTGTGCCTCTCCCAGCGCCCTGATCTCTAATGAGAATAGCTTTTCCCTGTCAGGTATGTTTGTTCCTGGCAGTAAGACTGATCTTTGCCATTACCAATTTTGTTCTGTCCATCCTTCCCTTCTTCCTTACGAATAGTGCAGTCTGTCACCGCCTGAGGCACCACTTCTCATCGCCAGCTGCCATGCTGTAGTGAACACACCATTGACAGGGCATCAGACTGCTGAGTGGGGTTTTGCTGTGATTATACAAATTTCAGGATCTTACAGTGTCTAAGCTTATCATTAACATCTTGTACAGTTTATTCTGGCACCTGATGCATTCGTAACATTCTCGGGAAGAGTATCTAGAAAGCACAAGGTTCGTGCTCAAACTGCAGCTGTGGCTCAACTTCTGTTGGCATTTTGGGTGGATAATTCTGGTTTAGTTTGGTTTGTTGGAGGGTGTCTATCCTGTGCATTGTAAGATGCTTAAGCATCTTACATCTATCTACTAGGTGTCAGGTACAGCAACCAAAAGTGACTCCTAGCATTGCCAGATGTCCTCTGAGGGGCAGGATCGACCCAGTGGAGAACCTCTCATCAGTACTTAAGAGTCTGTGATACCATAGAAATGAGTTCACTAATGTACTAAAGTGTGAGCCCAGTCCAGAGTAAATGTGAAACAACTTAATTTGTATTTCCCTACTTACTGGTAAATAAACATTTTAAAATACCCCAGGGAATTCAAGCAAGAAAAAATGTAAAGAAAAGGTCAGAAGGATGTTCCTTTTTCGTTAAATTAATTGATCTTTCTCATTTTTGTCATGTTAAAAATGTACTCCATTTCCTCACTAGATGAAGCCATCCATACATGGATGATTGCTTAAATGCCAGGCAAAATAATAGAGGGTCAGTAATTATTGAATGAGAGGAAACAAAGGTTTTTTCCTGAATTCTGGGATGCATGTGTTTAATCCAAGTGCTCTTGACTAGAATGCCAAGTGACAGAGTGTGTGATAGGAAAAGAGAGCTTTGAGCTGAGCGTCAGAGGGACCTGGGACACCACAGGAGGCCCTCATCTCAAGAAGGTCACTTGTCCTGCACATGGGAGCCCGGAGGAGGTTCCCTCATAGCTCTAGAATTTTGTCAACACATCATTCATAGGCTCCACCTATGAAGTGATGATGTTGATGGCTTTTTTTTTTTTAATTAGCAGCTCAGTGCTTACTTATTTGAGTCCTAATTGTCATTGAAACGTTCTCCTATATGTACTGCAAATTGGGGACCTAACAGCATAATTTAAGGTATAAAAATCATCTCTCTGCCTCATCAAAGAATGTCAGAGATCTCATATGTGCCTGCCAGGAAGTTTTTGTTCTTGTTGTTTCTGTCAGTTCGCACAGTATGACTCAGGGAGCGCTAGCAGATCAGCATGGAAAGCCAGCCACCTGGTTGTTTGGTCTATTGGTTTTTACTCTCCAACTGAACCCAGAGCTCTGTTTCCTGTGGATATTTGCCCAAATAGTAAGTCCCTTCCCAGCCCAGACCCACTGACACTTCCTTTCTGAACAGATTATGGGTTTGGAAGTTTGAATCAAGCCATGCTACAAAATCACTATTTAATAGCTTCTGGACTTGCACAATAAAAGTATCAGTCAGCATTTCCTGTTTTCATTCACGCTGTAAAGTGAAATAACTTTAACCTCCCCCAAAAAGAGATTGCCAAGACAAATAATTACCGGGGCATGAGGAAACATTTCCTTGCAAGCCTTTTAAAAACATGGAGCTTTCAGAAATCTACATTGCATGCTTTTCAGGAATCGTAAGTGTACTTAGACTTACTTCATGACTCAAGAGCAAGTCTATAGTTCTTTAGCCTGTTTCTCTTTTAAAACTTATTAAGAGCAGCAGATACTGTAAGGGCATAAACTGCTTATTTCTGGTCACTAGAAAAACTTAACTTACAGACTTTCTGTATTGACAATGCCCAGGAAGTGCCTAGGAAGTGAAAACTGCCGCTAAGTGGCTTGTCCCCTTCTCACATCAAGACCCCGCCTGAGCTACTAAGACACAGATACACAGCACTGCACTGTGTATCCATTTCCAGGCTGACGTTGTTGATGACACCTTATTAAGTGTTTCTTAGTTTTGTAAGTACTGATTCCATATTCCACATCATGTCCTTTTCCATATTCTGTTTTCCTTAGCAGCCTGAATCTTGAAAACAAATAACATAAAGATGATCACATGCAGTGTTTTGGAATGGTTTTCCAAGTATGAGAATTTGGCACTTTCTCTTGTTTTCTTCATATTGTTTGCCTCCATATTTCCTTTGCATTTGGAAGCCACAATCCCTGGACCTTTGCTACTGCATCCTGTTTCCTTCCCTAACTGAAGTTCTCTGCATTACCACTTCTCCCCCCAGTTTGTCTCTTAAAATATAAAATGAAGCTGAGCTCCTCTGTGTAGACATTTGAGATGGTCATATCTTTATCAAATATGTTATTTATACCTCTTATGAAAACTGTTTTGAATTTGTAAGGAAAAGAAGAGTCTATGATAGGGAGTTATAAGGACGTTTTTAATTCTGTTTAAATCTAGGTGTCTATCTACCTGTTGAATGAAAGCCTTTCCTTTAGATCATCACTCTCACACTGGGGATCATACTCAGTGGGGAATCATACTCACACTGGGGAATCTATTCCAAGAATGTAATTTGAAAGAGGTTAAAGCTCATATGCACAGATATTTTGCAGCATTATTTATATTGGAAACAATCCAAATGTCTAATAACAGGAGGAACAATTTTGCAAATCTTGGTACATCAACTTAACACAGTTAAAAGTTGCCACTTACAATCATAAATTTTGAAAGCTTGTAGTATAGCAAGAAAACTGTGCTAATTTTAAAGGAGCAGACTGCAAAATTCTACCTATTCTATAAAAATTATATAGGTATATGTAATACTTAAAGGAAACCATGCAGAATTAGAACAACTGATCGATGTATTTAAAGTTTGAAATTATGTGTAACATTTTATCATTTTTATTTCCTTAATTATTTTAAAAATATGTGTATTTGGTGACTGCATGGGACACATATCTTCATTTGTTCACATTTCAAATAGTTTTTATTTTATCTGAGTAAATTTTTTTTTACTGCCATCTCTTCTACCTCTGCCATCAATTTCAGCCTTGGCTGTCCTGTCCATATAAAGTGCATATTTCATGTTTGCTTTCTATTACATTCATAGTATGCTTTTCCTAGAGCAGTGTGCTTCTCAAATTTCAATGGGCATTCATCTCACCTGAGTCTTGTTAAAATGCTAATTTCGGATTCAGTAGGTCTGGAGTACCTAGAATCTGCATTTGTAATCAACCCCAGTGATGCTGGTCCTGGAGCCTCCCAGCCCCCCTTTGTGTGCATTATTTTGAAAGACAATGTTAGATACTCTCTCTGCTGCCTCCACTTTTGCCACAGGAACATTTCTAGCAATTTGGGGCTGGGAGGCTGTGGCTAAAGATCAGTGTCTTCGATGGTTATATAGAAGCTACCTTACTGTCAAACATGATGAGCAACCACCTTAAGCTACTCAACTAACCTGAATTTTCTCAACCAACAGAGGTGACCAAGTGGCACTAAAATAAATTACTGTGTATGTTTTAAAGAGTAAAAAAGGATTTTCCATGGTAATTATGCTGACAGTGTCCTTTGATACAATTTGGAGCCTGATTAAAATGTTGAAAATCCTGTATGTGTGAAGAAAAGTTTTACTTTGAGGTTACTAAACAGAACCGGAAATAAAATCTTGGCCTTGGCAGTGAATCCTTAAGGCACGGTGCTGTGAAGCAGAGTAAAGGGTTGTTTTTTTAGGGAATATATGGAAGATTTTCTGACCAGGAAAATCTGTTTACTTTTGCATATGAACAAGATGCAGTGGTGTGTAGCAAGCTGGAAGTGGTAGGGAATTTAAGCTATCCTTTGAACTTGACCCTACGGTTGTTTTTACAAGATAATAGCAAGTTTCCAAATTGACTCTCTGTAGTAACTGAAGCTGGCTTTGGTGCTGATATTGGAATGGAGAAATTCTTCAACATCAAGTGTCGCGCTTCTGGCTTGGTGCCCGACGTTGTTGTTCTGGTGGCGACAGTACGAGCCCTGAAGATGCACGGAGGAGGGCCGAGTGTAAGTCCTGCACTTCCTTCCTGATCAAACAGATTTAAAATCAAGATGAAGCAGAATTTAGTGTTTGAAACATTCAAACCTGCTTAATAACTACAGTTTTCTAAAACGTCTTTTTTTTTTTTTTACAGACACCATTATAGGACACTTAAAATTTAGTCTGCTCAAGTAAAGGGTAACACCTGCAAAGTTCTTTCTAAGCAGTGCTTTGGAAAGGAGCATAATGTAACCATTTTTTAGTCATAAAATTTATATCTGAAACTCAGGTCAACATTTTGTAACCCTGTGCTAATGGGAGGAGAGAGACTTTTGGTTCTGAACTGGGAACACATGGATTAGAATTGATTGCTTTTGTGGTGAGGTTTTTTAATGTTCATACAGATAATTTTTTGGTTCACTAATACTACATCTCAGATTTCATCTAGAAGTATTTTCCTTCTGTTTCAATTGGTTACAGCACTGGATTATTTTTAAGAGAGTTTTGCTCAGAAAAAACAAATTCTAACACTTCAAAAGACTTTTGATATTAACCTATCTTATATATAGAATTTACACAACATCTGAAAGGAAATTTTTTTTCTCCTTTCTACAGAAAAAGTGTTTTTCTTTTTTCACTTTTAGGTATTTTCAAAGAGAATAAGGAATGTTATACTGATTGCTCATTTTTGAAATGCAGTAATTTGTAGTACCTTTATCACTTATACTGTTGATGTATTTATGCTATGTTGACAAACTAAAAATCTGATTTGTTAATTGGTATACTGAGCACATAAAAACCACATAATCAATGATTATTACATAGCAAAAGCAGTGTGTTTGTCCTTATGAAACCCCATGATGTGCATTGTTTAAACATGTTAGCAATTCTTTGTCCTAAGAGACAGACATTATTTTATACCATTTTATTATTTTATACATATAATACCAAGGTATTATTTTACACCATTTTAGAGACAAGGAAGTTGAAGTTGGATGGTTGTAGGGAATATGGACAGTGTTATCAGGCCAGCAGATAGCCAGAACTGAAGTCTGTAGCTTAGACCCAAATTTGCTACTTTGTCCACCACATGGAGCTGATTATTAATGAGGGGGAAATCTTTTCTGAATCCCAGATCCAATGATAAGACAAATACTTAATTTTGGCCTAAATCTTCATCATTTTTTCAAAGGTAATATTCACACAGCACATATTACAAAGTTGTAAACCCTAAAGAATTCTGATTTTGCCCAAAACACCACTTGTTGCTCTAACCAGTCTTTGACTTTAGACTTTGAATCTGTATACCAACTTTCATTTTCAAGAAACTATTTCTACCTATATAAGATTAATTTGAAATTCTTCCTTCCTGATTTGCATCTGAAAATTACCAAATCGAAGGGCTTTACTACTGGAAAGAGCTTAGAGATTGTCTCATCTGGTTCAGTCTCATAAAGATAAATGTACTGAGGTAAAGAAGGATTCAGTGGTTTGCTTAGCTATCACACATCTCTGTAGGCGGCTAACCAGACCTAAAATCAAGGTCAGTTGAGGCCTAGTCCAGCATTTTTCACACGCTAGTCTCTGCCCTATAAAAATTCTCTACATGACTTGTAATTGTATTTCAGTCCATCTTAATGTGTGCACTGTTTTGATGTGGTTGCATTTTCCTCTTCCACTTGCACTGCAAGTCCAAGTTCCTTGTCAGTGATAACTGTACTGGGACTCATGCTTAGTAGGCACAGATAGGGGTGGAGGATAACAGAAGGGGAGGGCGAGGAAGCCCAGCAGAGCCCAGCATCCCTCTTCTGGGCTCAGAAGAGCCTTCTGTGCTGTATTACTCAAGACTGCCTGTGTGTGTGTGTCTACCTACGGAGCTCTGAATTCCTTGAGATTAGGAACTATGTCTTACCACTTTGTGTATCCCTGATGTCTGGCACATTGTCTGTATACAGGAAATATTTTTCAATAATTGGATAATAAATGAACTTTCATCTTCTTAATCCTATATTATCCATCTCCATGTCATTCATTTCCCCCTTACTTGAAACAACTGTGGTAATGTTTTTGATCCATTATAATTTCTACTTCCTCTTGATATCATTACACAAATAACCATAGCTGCCTCTTATGTTTATTCAGCTTGTTTTTTTCCATAATTTGTGTATGGAAAATCCTGCAACCCTTGAACTTGCCCATTTTAGCCCCAGTCATTTTATCCTGTTTTCCAAAATGCTGACCATTCTTGGTGCAATACATGAACTAATATTCTGTTACAATTTGGGAAAATGTTCCATTTACAATTAGTTCTTTAAATTCATTGTATTAAGGTGGGTTCCCCAGAACCAATAGGGTGTATATTTATATAAAAAGATTTATTGTAAAGAGCTGGCTCATGCAATTACAGACACCAACGAGTTCAAATCTGCAGCCTGGGTCAGCAGGCTGGAGGCTTGGGAGAGCCAGTGTCCAGTTCTAGTCTGAAGGCAGTCTGCTGGGGAATTTTCTCCTGTAGTCTTTTTTGTTCTATTCAGGCCTTCAACTGATTGGATGCAGCCCACCCACATCATGGAGGGTGGTCTGCTTTACTCAAAGTCACTGATTTAAGTCTTATTCTCATTCAAAAACCCTCACAGAAACACCCAGAGTACTCTTCGACCAAATATTTGGACACCTATGGCCCGGGGTGACACGTAAAGTTAACTGTCGCACCCATTATTACTGATTTTTGGTGTGTATGGTGCAATTATCAGATCTAACTTCATTTTTTCTACATTAACCAATTAATAACCTAGAACTATTTATTTAAATAATTGCTCCTTCTTTCTGATCTTCAGACCTACTGTGTGATAAATCAATTCTCCATACATGTGTGGGCCTTTTTCTCGGATGTCCCTTCAACTGTATTGGTCTACTTACGTAAAATGGTCTCTGTGCTACACTGTTAGCCCAAAGGTCAAGCTCCCCCAGCTGTTCTCTTTTCTCCTGCATGCCTGGCCAATTATTGACCCTTTTCACTTCTGTATATATTTTAGAACTAGCTCATAGCGTTCCATAAAGAATCTTTTTAGGATTTTTATTGGAATGGCATTAAATCAATAGGTCAGTTTGGGGAGGTTTGACAACTTCCTGTGTGAGAACATAAGCTATCTCTTCATTGATTTAGGTCTTTTAAAATGTACTTTAATAAAGATTTATACTTTTTTCCAAAGAGGGCTTCCACATACTTTTATAGGTTTGTTCCTACATACTTTCTGTTTTTAAATAGTGACAGATTACTTCTGCATTCTTACATATTGCTTTATATCCAATGACCTCTCTACATTCTCTTTTGTTTAATTAAAGTATAAATTACCTATAACATTATATTAGTTATAGGTGTGCAGCATAATGATTCAAATGATATATATTTCAAAATTATCACCACAATAAGTCTAGTTAACATCTGTCACCATACATAGCTACAAGATTTTTTTTCTTTTCTTATGATGAGAATTTTAGGATCCACTCCCTTAGCAGATTTCAAGTATGCAACACTGTTATGCTAACTATGGTCACCACACTGTGCATTACATCTCCAGGACTTAAACTGTTCTCTTATTAATTATACTAAGTATCTAGATACTTTGGTACATTCTATGTGGGCAGTCATATCTGAAAATAATGACAGCTCTGTTTCTTCCTTTCCACTCTTTATACTTTTTTTCTGGTTACTAACCAGGTCTCCCTAGTTACAACACAGTTTTAATAGGAGTGGTGATAGCAGGCATCCTTTTCTTATTCTTCAACTGAAAGAGAATACTCTTAATAGTTCATCACCAAGTATGATATTTTCTGTAAATTTTCAGTAAATTTTTTTATCAGGTTAAGGAAATCACCATCTATTCCTACTGTACAAAGTTTTTATATGGCATAGATGTTGAATAATTTTATTCATGTATCGAGATGATACAGTTTTCATTTTATTAGTGTTGCAAATTATATTACTGAACTTTCAAATAGTACAGGAACCTACATCCCTAGAATAAATCTAAGTTGGGGGTATATCATCTTTTTTATAAACAACTGAATTTTGCTTATTGGTTTTGCAGTGTTTTAAGTAGGATCTTTGCATCTATATTTATGAGTGGGATGTTAGTCACATAAAATTAATTGGGAAGGATTCCTTTTTTATATACTATGTATGTTATTTTATAACATTAGAATAATCTGTTTATTCAAAGATGAGAAGAATTCACCTGTAACACTGTCTGGGCCTGTTGCCTTATTGTTGAGGGGTAGATTTTTAACTATACGTTTAATTTTTGTTAATGAATATGCACTGTTTAGGTTTTCTATTTCTCCTTAAAGGAGTTTTAAAATAAAACTTATACTTCTATGAATTTCTTAATGTTTTTAAATGTATTGGTATAAAGTTGGTCATAGTATCCCATTCTGTGTACAGCATGTATAGTAAAAATTTTTTTCATTCCTTTTTTTTTTAAGTCTTACCAAAGTGTTTTCAATGTTGTTAGTTTTTTTTAAGAACCAACTTTTTGTTTTGTTGATCCTTTCTACTTTTTGGTGCTTGCATGCAATTCATTCTTCCTGCTTTTACTTAATTTTTGATTCTGCAAGCTTTAACATGTGCAACTTCAGCAGTACTTTACCTTTTTTTTAATCTAGCATTTTAGTTGCTGCAACTGGAAGGTTCACCCAGTGTTTTTAGCCTGTGCTACTGCTGTTGAAACCCATCCACAAATACTTATGTTCCCACACACTATAAAAAACATTCTGTCGCCAAGCTAACTTCTTTTCAGAGGATTCCTAATACTCTCAAAGCCTCTTCCACTGAGAGAAGAGAAAGTTACCATGTCTTCAGCAAATCAAAATGTTGCCTAGTATTTCTCACCAAAACCAGTAGCAGGTTCTAGACAAATACAGTTTACGATTGTGGGAAGGTACTAAACTGGGGTTTCAGAGCCATATTATATTTCAGGTCCACCTTTTTTGCCTCTCACTTCTGTATAACCTTGGTCAGGATGCCTTCTCTCAACTTCAGTTTCATCTTAAAACTGTCTTGCCAACCCCATAAATTGTTGTGAAAAAAGTAAGCCCATCATCTTACTACATTGATGGACAGTGACTTCAATGGGGTATGGGAGGGGGGGCACTTTATAATGTGGGTGAATGTAGTAACCACAATGTTTTTCATGTGAAACCTTCATAAGAATGTATATCAATGATACCTTAAAAAAAAGAAATGTCTAAAAAAAAGAAAGTAAGCCCATGTGTAAAAAGTCAATGGCAGTTATTTTTAAATAATTCAGAATTAATTAATATATACAGGTATTAATATATTATAATCAGATATGAATGTAAATTCCATTTTATTCTAGGATAGTGGGCAATGGTATGAAAATGCTCAATATCAGCACAAATTAAAATCACCAGAGGAGTTTAGTTGGTACTGATCCTGGGTCCTACACCCGGAAATCCTGGGCTAATCAGCCTGTGTGGAGCCCTGGCAACTGTTTTTCAAAAGCTTCCCACAAGACTTTGTGTTCAGCCAGGGCAGCCAATTACCATAAAGCACAAAGTGTGCTTTGAAATGTACCTTCCCAAAAATCACCTGGATCTGTTTTCTTTCAGATCTTTATCAGAGCAAACATTTTAATGGAGTTATTCTAAATTTTTGTCTTTTTTTATCTCAGGTAGCTGCTGGTGTCCCTCTCAAAAAAGAATATACAGAGGAGGTAAGTGTGACTGTTTTAAAGGACTTAATGTGAAGAGCCATTCAAATTCAGTTAACCATTGATGAGCAGTTGAATCCTGATCATTGAATGAGTCCTCTACCAGTGACCTCTTAGAAAAGTGTTTTTCTGATAATCCGAGAGGAAATAGGTGGGGTCCGGGATAAAACCGCTTCATACGAGTGTAGGCTGTATGCAGTGTTCCCTACCCCGCAGGGAGCTATCAGAGCAGCTTAAAGTCTCCATGCCAGAAACAAGTACGGAGCTTCTACCCATGTGTTCTTTTGGTGGGAAAAAACTGACTTTTGGAGGATATACAATTGGCTTTATGGCTTGCTTGAATTCCTTGACTCTGTTCTATAAATAGACTTTAATTTACTGGCAGCAGTACCTCTCAACTCCTACAGGTGGCGCCAAGGACTGGAGCAGGGAGTAGCTGGACGGAGCTCCTCCCCATCTGGGGCCTTCTGGTCCACAGACTACAATGCAGGGGCACATTGCTTATGTCTCAGCTGCCAGTAGAAATATCCAACTATTGGCTCAAAATCCAGATATGCCCTTGGACCCAGAATATTTTCCAAATTATTTTGAAAATAAGCCTCCTCCTCTGCAGCCATCTCTTCTTGGAGGAGAAGTGTTTTGTGGTCTTTAGTCATTTATAGGCAAACAAAGTCAGCATAGATAGAAGCAAAACCTGCCCGAGTGGGCCTGCCCGTGTAGGTTGGGCAGTATTGGCGGGAGGCTATACACGGGGTCTGGTTTTCTTGCAGAACATCCAGCTGGTGGCAGACGGCTGCTGTAACCTTCAAAAGCAAATTCAGATCGCTCAGCTCTTTGGGGTTCCCGTGGTTGTGGCTCTGAATGTCTTCAAGTAAGTCAAGCCTCCATCTTTCTATGTGGTCATATTGCTGGGCCACCCTGTAAACTGTACTTGTGTCTTGAGGACATTTGTTCTTTCTCTGCTTCATCCAAAAGTACACAGAAATTCTCTGCTCTTTCTGTTTGTTTGATTAGTTTGGTATCGGTGGGTTTCATTTTAGCAGACATTTCTCAAATGTTATTAGGAAATGAAATCTATATAGTGCGTTATCATTTCCTTGACTTAAAAAAAAAATTCCACCCAGCATTTCTGTCTGAAAGACTAGGGATGATCAAAGGGATATGTAATGGAATTTTCTCAATAAAACCCTTAACAACTTGAAATATGTGAGTCGTGTTGGGGAGGATTTTTTTCCCAGGCTTTTCTTTAAGTCTGATTTATTTAAGCAGTCTGATGTAACCACTTTTGATGTTTAAAATATATTCAGTGTTAGGGAGCAAAGTTCTTTATAAATGGTTAGTCTTTCTTTAAAAACATCACTAAATGAATACAGATGCAAAACCACAAACATTTTCATCACTAGGACTGACACCCGTGCTGAGATTGACTTAGTGTGTGAGCTGGCAAAGCGGGCTGGCGCCTTTGATGCGGTCCCCTGCTATCACTGGTCGATTGGTGGGAAAGGGTCGGTGGACCTGGCTTGGGCTGTGAGAGAAGCTGCAAGTCAAAGAAGCCGTTTCCAGTTCCTGTACAATGTTCAGGTAAGTTCTGATGACAGTGCTAATAGTGGCCAGCGAGTCTTACATCTGAACTGTGGGCCAGGCCTGTGCTAACATCTGTGCATTGGCTGTCCATTCAGTCATCACAACAGCAGGCAGATAAGGAAACTGAAGGGGAGGAGGTTAAATCATCTGATGAGGCCACAGTGCCAAGGACAGACCCAGCTTCTTGCCCCAAAGCCTGTGCTTTTGAAGGCTAAGCTCTCCTTCCAGATTGCAGGCCTGGGAGGAGAGGCTTTGGAGAAGCCAGGGGTCAACAGCCAACACTTGCAGGGCTTGCCCAGAAACAGGACTTTGAGCAACTTCATTAGGCTTGTAAAAGCATGGGCAGTGTTTTCCTTGTCCATTTCTGCTATAGCTCTTCTCTCTCATTATGAGTTTTTTGAGTTATGTTTGGCATATTAAAAATTTTTTAAATTGTGGTAAAATATACATTGAATGAAATTTACCATCTTTAATATGTTTAGGTGTACAATTCAGTAGAGTTAAGAACATCCATTGTTCAGCAGCCCATCCATATCCATAGCTCTTTTCATCTTGCAAAGCTGAAACTCTGTGCCCGTTAAATAAGCCCCTACTTGCCTCCCCCACCCCCACCCCCGTCCCTGACCACCATCCTTCTTTCTGTCTCTGTATGGGTTTGACTTCTCTAAGTGTCTCATGTAAGTGAAGCCCTAGTAGCATATTTGTCTTTTTTGCAACTGGCTTATTCACTGTCTTGATGCTTCTTAGGCTGCCCTAAGGAATACCATAGACTGAGTGGCTTATAAACAACAGAAATTTCTTGCTCACAGTCTTGGAGACTGGAAAATCCAAGATCAAGGCATTGGCCGATTCAGTGCCTGGTGAGGGCCCGCTCCCTGTTTCCTTAACAGCTGTCTTCTCATTTGTCCTCCTATTGTGGAAGGGGGCAGGGATTTCTCTAGGGTCTTTTGTGAGGACACTAATCCCATCCTTGAGGGCTCCACCCTCATGACCTAATCACCCCCAGAAGCTCCCATGTCCTGATAACCATCACAATAGGGATTAGTCTTCAAGATGAATTGGGGGGGGACCCAAACATTCAGTCTATAGCATTTACTTAGCATAATGTCCTCCAGGCTTGTCCATGTTATTGCATATGTCAGAATTTCCTTCCTTTCTAAGGCTGAATGATAGTGCCTTACGTGTATATGCCACATTTTGTCTATCCATTCTTCTGTCAGTGGCCACTGGCGTTGCTTCCACCTCTTAGCTCTTGTAAATAATGCTTCCATGAACATATGTGTAAAAATATCTTCACAACTCTGCTTTCATTTTGGGGGGGTTATATACCCAGAAGTGGAGTTGCTGGATTATGTAGTAGATTTTTTAACATAATTGGAAAAATGAGACTTCAGTCAGAAAGTCTGGACTTCCCAGGACCTCACTCATCTCCGTCCAGCTTGGCACCCATGTAAACATTTGTGTTCTGAATTTTGCAGCTCCAGCTCTTGGCATTAGATTTGTCTGCATATCCCTGATTGCCAGAGTGTTCAGCCTTCAGGCTGAGTGCTTCTTCCCCCTTTCTTTTATCCCTCATACAATATGTTGGTCTGCCTCTTGGATGTCTCAGACAGTCACATCACCCCAGTTTCCTGTTCACTTATGTAAACTGACAGGTTAAGGGAAGAGAAGGTGTGGCAGCTCTCCCTGTAAGTGCAGAGTCCCACTACCAAGCACCTGATATTAGCCTTATTGCTAAGGCTCCGGCGTAGGAGGGTTTTTGGGGGGCCAGGTGTATAGGCACTTGCTACATGTAACTTCTTCAGTCCTCACATCCCTGTTGGGTGGGAACTGTTGATACTCCCCCATTTTATAGATAAGGAAACTGAAGCACAAAGCAGTTCTGTAACCTGCCCAGTGTCTCATAGCCCTAAAGAGGCAGAGCTAGAAGAGTATCCAGAATGATGGAGGCCATCGGCTGGCACTTCTTCAGAACTCAGGGTTCAAAAGTGGGGGGTGGGGCGGGCTGGAGGGCAGATGCTGCTTAAAGGGACAGTAACTTGAGAGACCCACCACCTGAAGAAGGACAAGAGTCATGGGCATAGGATCCACGACAAACCAGAGACATTGTCGGCACTCAGTAAACGTTTGTGGGAGGAGAGATTTCAGAAATGCATTGGGATGATTTGCCCAGAAAAGGTTTGTCATGTTGAAAGTCCATTTTATGAATGAGGGACTAGAACGTTCAGAGTTACAGAGGTGGTGGATGATAGGAGGAGGAGACTTGGGTTCCACATATAGAAGAATGTTGTGACCATAAGATGAGTTCTCTGACCCAGGAGGTGTTCCACATAAGCTAGATGCAGCCCTGCAGTGGGCACCCTGGTGGGGGCAGCAGGGAAGCCACTCAGATGGCATTGGCTGAGGTGCTCTCTTGTTCTAGCCTGCACCTCACTGTCCCGGGCACCCTGACTGGGTTGTCTGCAGCTCTGGGCACAGCCCTCGGCCCTTTGACACAAATCGCTTGCAGAAGACTCACTCCCTCGCCTGCTCAAAGTGCCTCCAACCATCGCCATCTAATTTGTCAACCATCTGCTCTGAGTGGCAAAGGCAGTTTTTAAGTGAAAGATTTCACCATGTACAGCTTTTCTCAAGGCAACCATCCCAGATGAGAAGAAGGTCAGCAAACAGAAGAAATATTTGAATCACACTGTCTTGGACATGCGCTAACCCAAAGATGAGCCCTTTTCCTTTCCACCAATATTTTAATTTTTTTTTCCGGAATTCCCATTCTTCTTGGAGATAATGCTATTAAAATGTCTGCTTTGCTGTGAAAATAGGAGAAATTTATAATAACATGGTCAAAGTCCTACATTTGATAAGACCCTTGCTCCTTTGCAACATACTCTTCTCCCTTTTCTTATAATGCAGATACTAGATTTGAGCTGCAGGATTGTTGATTAGCTCATCAGCATCTCAGCCTGTTGCTGCATGACAGTTTATGAAAAGAACTATTGCTGCTCTGGCTCGCTATGTAGCTGTGTTCCTTACACTGGCAAGACAGTTTCAGATACTGTAAGACCGTTTACCATCTCGTCTTATAACAGTGTAGGAAGCTGAAGTTATTGGTGCAGTCAGAAACACAGATCAAACTTTTTCCCCCCTGATTTCTTACATATTTAATGCTGGTGAACCTTTCTGAGCTAGGTAACGGTTTTCTTGAGACCTTTTTTATATCCCTTCTTTATCCTCCCATGAGTAACCCTTTGGTGCCTGGCAGCTTGATAGGTAGAGGATTGCCCTACAGGAAAAGAAGTGATAAATGCTTTTGCATAAAACACCCCACTGCCTTTGCTTCACAGCACAAACTGGGCTTTTGTGTGACTTTTGCTTCTCCCCAGACTCTATTCCACCAAAATGTGTTCCATACAGGATTGATAGTGTCTTATTTCCTGCTCCACCTGCACCCCAGGCTTGTGTTGCAGAAGAAAGACACCTGAGATCATTTGGAGGAATTTGAAATACCATAGGAGCACAGAGCATGCTTGCTTTTGTGTGGGGAGTAGAAAGCATCTCAAAACCCCAGGGGAAAGAGGAACAGCTAAAAATAAATAGAAACAACCTCAGAGACACTGTTAGGCCACATAATATACAAGGTATGAGGATTTATGACAACACGCACATAGTCACTGCAAGAAATGAGCTGCACTTCTGATTTGGGAGTCGGTGCTAAACTGTGTAGAAATTGAGTTCAGCAGACACTGTTCTCTAGAGAACAACATTGGACCTCTTTTACCAAAGCAGCTTTTAACAGAGTTAGCAACTTGATTTTGGTACTGGAGGCAGCTGTTGAGTAATTCAAAATATAATTTGAAAAAATATGGACTAAGCTGCAGTGGCGTAATTACTCAAAGGAAGTAGATCACGTGACAATATATTTAAACTTGGAGTATAATCCATCATCTCCTCTCGGTTCTGTAGGATGACCACAGTCCCATTTAAGGAGCTGTAAAGTCCCCCCAAAACTCATCATCTTCTCTATTACTTTTCCTTTTCTGTTCTTCACTTTTGATAATAATATCCTTACAATGTAGTAACTCCATCTCTGCAAGCACACAGGAAAATCGTATAGCAGAGAGACAAGCTAGTCCATATTTACAGTTTGTTTGCTATCAAATCCCTCTTTTCCACATTGTTTAAAGCATGTCTCACCCAATGCCATGAAGTGTACAAGGTCAACTCTGCATTTTCAATGCAGAAATGGATGAAATGGAAGGTGAGGGTCTTGCCCCATAACAAAGGAACATTTAATGGAAGAAGAAACATGTTTAAGTTTAAAGGGTAAAGCTTTGGAGTCATGCAGAATTGAGTTCAAATCTTGCCTAGGCCTCCTACTACAGATATAAATTTGGCAAGTTAACTCATCACTCTGAACCTCAGCTTCCAGACCTTTTTTGACACTGTATTAAGTGTCTAATATTAACACCAACTTCACCCAGTTGCTGTGAAGACCGCATGAAATGTCTTGGAGTGAAATGCTAGAATGTAGGAAGCTGGCAACCAATGTTAGTTGTCCCATCATGTTCACTTCAGGAAGAGAGAGGGCTTCTTGAATTGACCTTCAAGAACTGTCTATAATTCAAGTAACTTGGTCAGATTCTAGAGTTGGTTTCCTTGTTCAAGTGGGTCAAAACCATGAATCAGAAGCCAAGGCTCCTAGTGCACCAAAAAAGAAAGGCACCACAAAATTAAAGCAGGAAGACATTTAGCATTCTTCTTTCTCCATTAGAATTGTGTACCATTAGTGATATACTAAAAAGTCAGTCGCTTTTTCAAAGGATGTGTGGCACCAGAAGTCAGCTTGCAAATCAGAGTCAGAACATTGTTTGTTAAATCAGGAGTTAAGGTTGAAAATCATTTCCATATCCTTCCTCTAACCTTGCAGACATTTTGAGATGTAACCTTGACAGCAAGAGAGGATAGTGTTTGTTTTTATTAAAAGGTCTTTCCTGTTCTTT